ATCGGATGATGATTCATCGTATTGTTTGCATAATTATTTTCTTTCCGAAGTTTTTTTTTTTTTTTTAAATTTTAAATGAAATGAAATACTTTTAAGATAATTGGTACTATCAATCATGAAAACTAATAAATTGTAATTGTGAAAATATTCGATTAAAATATGAAAATATTGATTGATTAAGAAAATTACATAATAGTAATTAGTGATAGATAAATGATGGAAAAGTTTCGAAAAAAAAAATGAAATTTATTTTATATTTTGAATATTTGAATTGATTTATTGATTTTTTTTTATTTTTTGTTTTTTCTTTTTCTGTAATAAATGCTATTACGATGAAATTAGAATATTCAAATGAATTTAATTTTTTTTACTTTATTGCAGTAAAATGACAACAAATTATTCATCGAAATCTTCACCAAAATGCAATGGATGTCATTGTTTAGCGGTATTTTACCTTTTCTTTATTCCTGAATTTTTTTTTCTCAATTTTTATAATTTACATCTGATTTTTACTAATTCTGATTTTTGATAGGTTAAAATTTTTCTAAGATAAGTGGTCTTATCAAATGACAATTCCTTCAAAAAAATTCCCACAAGATTTTCAAAATTTTCAAACTTTAGTCATTTTTCATTTTTTTTTTTTTGCAAAATTCTTATAAATTTCTTCTGTGGAGAAAAAAGAAAATTTTAAGTTAATAAATCTAAAATAATAGTTTACAAAATTAAAAATTATTTTTCGTTTAAACTTATTTCGTTTTATTTGTCCTAACCATTTATTATACTTATTTTTGTCTAACATTTATAATAAGTTCAAAATTTTTCTTCTTTTTTAAAATAGAAAACTTTTTTTTTTTTTGAATTTCTAAATTTCAAATATTATTTGCACTTTTTTCAAATAAGTTCAATTAATGCTTAATTTAACAAAATATTAAAGTAAAAGAAAAGGAAAATTGCTGAAAATCAACCACCGTCCTATTTCTTTTATATATTTATTTCACATCTGTTTTGTTGTTTTCATTTAAATTTTTCGAAATAAATATTTAGCTATTATTGAAATAATCAAAATAAGCATTATAAATATAAGAAAGGTTCAGAAGTAGAATTATTGGCAAAATAGAATAAAGATAGTTGACAGAATCTTGGAAATGATTTATGATGCGCAGCTGGACAAGAAGATGATCTCTTATGGGAGGCGAACACATTAATATTTTCTTATCGAATCGAAATTTGATATTTAATTACTTATTTCTACTGCAACTTATAATCAAATATAATGTTACTAAATTAGCAAATGTATTTAAAACAAAGACTTTTTGTTTATAATTCTCATTGGTGCATTTATAACTTTTATTTATCATTTAGTAAACAAATTTCGATTAGCATTTAGCATATAAACCTTAGATATCATTTAGTAAACAAATCTCTTAATGGTATGCATTGCATTATTACTTTTCGTATATTTCTTATTTTTCAAATTAAATTTTTGCTATTTTTTTGCAAATGAAATAATTGATAGTTTTTGAGTAATTCATTTAAAATTTTTGCTAAATATAAATTTCTTTAATGAATTAAAAAATTTTAAATTGTTGCATCAATCAACAAATTTTATAATCTATATAATGTATGCACATTTATTCGTTTTTTGAAAATTTATAAGAAATGATTAAATTTTAGATTTTAGAAGGAATAAATTTTGATTTTACAATAAGCTAACTAACTGTCAAATTTATATGAATTAATAAATGAATCATAAATGTGCGTCGAAGTGTAAAAGTTTATATTATAGCTTTTTATTTTATCCATTAAGATTGTTATGATTGATAGCTTATCAATGATATATAAGCATAAAAGGCATATTTTATCTTAAGTTTGCATTTTCTCTTTTATTTTGATAAACATCAAATTTAAAATTTTTAATTTAATAATAATGATTTTGTGGATGGATTTGTGGATGAAATAATGTCTTAAAAAAAAATGATAAACTTCTATTATACTTAAGTTAATTTTGTTACGTTATAATTTCTAAAGTATTCTTTATATAATAAATTCAAATTGGTGATTATTTCATAATTTAATTTATTAATTATCATAATTCATAATTTAAGGTTTAAATAATTATTTATCTGAATACATTTGTTTATGCTTTATATAAATATCTAGCTGACTAATTGATCTAATTGATCAATTAACTATCTAATAAGTATACATTTGGAAATTTAGAAAAATTAAATTTCAAAAAATATCAAATTTTTCTTTTCAAATAGTTTTTAGATTAATCAAAATATCCTCTAACATATAAAATAATTCCAAAGCAACTTCTTACCTAAATGAAAATATTTGGAAATTCAGAAATTTTTATATTCTCCTTTTCAAATTTCTATTCTTATTTCAAATTTACTTTTCAACTAGAAGCATTGATCTTATTAGTTAATGATAATTTTATTGCTAATATTAGTGACACTAAATTTTGAAAGTTTTAATAGAATACCTCATATTATACTTTGAATTTAACAAGTAAAAGAAAAAAAACAAATATTATATATAACCAAATTATACTAATTATTCAGTTTTTCATTTCTTATTTTTTCAATTTTAAAATGTATGCTATTTTTTATGCTATTTAAAAGTATTGAAATTATAAAAATAACGAAGAAATAATAATCGAATTGTCCTTTTTGTCACCACTTCATTCTATAAGGTGACAATGTGGTGACATTTAAGATAATGCAATATGAAAAAAAGAAAAAAAAAACTACCAAAGTGCAAAAAAAAGGGCATTTAAAATTTTTATTTTTTATCACTAAATATTTTATAAATATGTCTAGTCATTTAATTCCAAAAAAAAGAAAAAAAAAGACGCCAAAAAAATATGATTAATCTAAAATTATATTTTCCATCTGTTCTCAAAAATAAAAACGAACATTTTTTCTTTTTTTTTTCTTTCAAAAAATCCTGCAAAATTTACAATGTATTAAATTTTTTTACAAAAAATTATTTTTGAAGTATTTTGATTAATGATATATTTAAAATTATTCATTTCAAGAATATTTTGTTTCTTTTTTTTTCCTCCACTTTAAATTAGCTTTTATTTTATTTAATTTCTTTCTTTTTTTTTTTTTTTTTGTTTTTAAGTCAATAATAATAACAGTGATAGCAGTAACATTATTATTTGTCAATTTCTTTTTTTAAAAAAAAAATTATTAAATTTAAAACGAAATAGTCATCTTTTGCACTTTATTTATTTATTTATTTTTTGTTTATTTTTTTGATGAAAAAAAAGCAAAAAAAATTTTTTGCTATATTTATTTTTTTACAAATATAGCAAAAATAAATAAATACAATTTTTATTATAAAAAAAAAAAAAATTCAACTCTTTTCTTTCTATCATTTTTTTTTTCAGATTCAAGCAGATGAAAATTATAAACGTTTAGCTGAATCAGATAATATTCAGATTACAATGGATAATATTTCGAGCAACCAAACAAACCAAAGTATTTATTAATTTTTTAAATTAATTTAGATTAAATTAGTTTCTTCTCTTTTTATCAATATATTTTATCACTTAATATTATCTGCTTTTTTTTAAAAAAAAAATGCTAATTATATAGATGTGCGGAAAAAAAATGAAAGAAATAGTTTCAAATTTAATTTCCATTTAATTATTATTTAAGGAATAAAAATTTTAATACTATAAGAAAGTATAATAAATTTTGTTTTTGTCTTTGCTTTTTTTTCCTTTTAATTTAGAAGCAGTTTTAAAATTGAATGATAAATTTTAATAACAAACATTAAAATAAGCAAATTTTCAACGAATAAATTTCAATTAAATCACTTAATATTACTATTCTTATTTTAAAAGATAATATTGCTTTTTTTTAGCAATAATATACTTTTTTAAAATAGTTTTTTTAATAACAATATACTGTTATAAGCGTTGATAATTGATAAAACATATTGTTATCAACACTAATAATGGGTAAAACATATTGTTATCAGCATTGATAATGGGTAAAACATATTGTTATCAGCATTGATAATGGGTAAAACATATTGTTATCAGCATTGATAGTGGGTAAAACATATTGTTATCAGCATTGATAGTGGGTAAAACATATTGTTATCAGCATTGATAATGGGTAAAACATATTGTTATCAGAATTAATATGGTTATTTACATAATAATGATAATAACATTCACTATCATTAATATCATCACTTATCCTCGTTAAAAGCCAATATTGTTATCACTCGTTATTATTAATTGTTGCTATAATTATTATATGATTTAATTGCAGTAAATCCCACAATTTAATACATTTACAGATATTTATGATATAATTTCCGTTTTCCTTTTTTTTGTTTCAGTTATCAACAAAAAGCTATTACGGAAAACAGCAAAAGTAAAACCGGAAGAAGTATCAACACCAACACATTTCGAGTATTCGTTTTTTTTTTTTTGTTTCCTTATTTTTATTTTTTAAAATTTCATTCAAAAATTTTTTTAGTTTTCCTTAAAATTTCAGTCATTAAAATATTATTTAGCGATCATTGTTGTAATTTCTCGAATTTTATTTGTTTCAAATAATTTTTTCTTTTCTTTTTCATTTTGCTTTTTAAATGAATGCAATAAAATTTTCAGGCATTTAGTACACATTGAAGATATACAATCGAATGCTAATAATTTTGTTGCGACAGAATTATCACATGATCCAATTATTAGAAATATTTTCAATATGATCGAGAAAAATATCGCTAATACGGATAGTAATGCTATTAATGCTATTACACCTACTGATAATGATAATAATATTACAGAATTGTATGTGGAATCAATCGTGGAAAATCAGGCGAATAATCCTAAAAATGTTACAGTTTACATTAATGATATTGAAACATATGATAATTTGAATACTTTTACTGTATCATCTTGTGCGGTAAATGAGAAACAATCAGTGCTGAAAAGAGATAATTTAAAATTAAATTTGAAATGTAGTCGAAAAATGTCAAATGATGGGAAACATCAATCGATACCGCATAGTTTAAAATCAAATTGCAAAAAAATAAATAATCAAAATAGCATCAAAAGTTTCCTAATGTTACCGAAACATAAAAAGCTTACATCGGTTTCATCGTCAGATTCGATCGAAACAGTATCATCCGTTTCACCGTTCACACCAACACCGATACAATCTCAGTATGCTAATCTTAAAAACGAAGAATCTACCTGTGATGCTATCAATTCTCAAAAAACCGAACAGATGACATCATCATTGTATAAGAATCAACAGGATGCTATAACTGTCAACTCAATGAAAACGGATGCAAATAGTTCTGAGAAAAAGCTTATCGATTTCAAAGATCAGATTGAAATTCAACAAGCACTGAAACAGTTGGATGATGCATTGGATGAGCAAATTGCCATTGAAACTTCTCTAACTTCTTCAAATCCAGAAAAATGCAATGTTGAAATGTTTGAAGAGAAGACTGAAACAACGAAACTAAAAGATAATAAGAAATCAGTGAAACAATTAGTTGAAATACTTGATTCAAAGCAATTACAGTTTAAAATGCGAAATATGCCATCAAAATTACATTCAACTATAATCAATCAGGATTCCGATTTCACAACTGATAACGAAGGTAACACGAAGGCAAAAGCTTCATTATGCATATCTGATCCGGAAATCACATCAAAACCATCACTTATTGGTGTCAATATTTTTGGTCTTAATTATGGCAAATCAATAGCTGAAATTATTGCTGAGAAACGAAATTATGAAAATTATTCACTTCATAAGCGTCCACCAGCATCACCAAAACCGGTATTGAAGAAATCACTTCCAACTCCAAAACCGAGCACTTCGGATGAGAGAGAACAAAAATGGCTTCTTCCATCATCATCAAATCAAGTAGTAACTCATCCATCTGATATATCATTAGCTGATAATCGAAAAGAAAATATTATCATAACTGTGGATAAGAACTCAAAAATTCAATCGAAACAACAGAAAATATCAAATTCTGAAATGCTATCAACAATTATTAAAATTGATGATATACAATCCACTACAAATTTTCAATCAATAACAACAACAACAACAACAACTAATGCTACTACTCCTATAACAACAACAACAACGGTTGATTTTACTTCAAAAGATTTAAATCAACAATGTTTACCTGAAGTGCAGTATTCGACAGCAAATCATATTTATGAAAATTTAAATCAAAATGGTAATGAGAGATACTTGGAAACATCCTTTAACGGACCAATTGCAATGACAGTAATTAGTGAAAGCAAAAATGGTACAACAAAATCAGCGAACGAAGTAAGAATTATTAGTTTTCTTTTTTTTTCAAATATGACTAAATATAGGTGATATTGAATTAGAACAGTTTATTTTAATGGTGTAAAATGTGACAATTATGATTGTATATGCTCAGAATAAATCATATTGGATATGATAATGATAATTGATTATGTGATCAGAGTAGTTCATTTCAATCGTGTCAAATATGATAATCATAGATCAAATATAATTATATAGAATCAAAATTGTTCATTTCAATGTCATGAAAAGAAAAAAAAAATCACATCATGGTAATAAGTACTCCTTTTGATAAGTCACTGATAAGCTTGTTTTACTGTTATTACTGATAAGTTTGTTTTTATTATTTACTGTTATTTTGTTGTTATCACTGTTATAAATTCTTGAAATGAGAACATATTTTAGGATTCTTCACATATATTTCATCATCATCAGCAACAACAACAACAACAACAACAACAACAACAACAACAACAACAACAACAACAACAACAACAACAACAACAACAGCAACAGCAACAACAACAAAAGGAATCTGTTATTGATAAAGGAAAATTTTTTGCTGATAATACTTCAACCGCTTTATCACACGTTACTTGTAATCATAATGATAATGTAAAATGGCGAAGCGATCCTAAAAGACAAGCAAATTTAGATGTATCGAAATTAGAAAATGATCGAAATTCAGAACCAGTACCACCACAACGTACGTGTTTTAAGCGCAATAGCTACGGTTCCGTTTCGGATAAAAGAATAATGCAGCGTAGTACTTCAATGTTTTCCACTTCAACTAACAAAGAATCGAATGACATTACAAACAAATCAATCTCTAACATTATTCATCAACATCCTCCTACATCCATTAATCGATCATCATCATTGTCTATTCCGGAAACAACACGAATTATAATACGTCCTAAACCGGCACCACGACAAATTGATTGCATGAAAAGAGCGACAGTCACTACTGATATTCCTGAGGTTTATGTTTATCCTTCATGTTTAATAATTTAACAATTTACATAATAATTATTTGTTTTATTTTTATATTTTCATGTTTATATCAATGTAAAAATACAATTTAAATTTCGTATATTACAATTTCAGTTTCATATTTTGCTATAATATTACAGCTTTATTTATTATACGAATAAATAATTTATTTATTCAAAAATTAAATGATGCAAGAAAATTTTTTGATTACATTTTAGGGATAAAAATAATTAGCATATTATTTGTTTGCAAACTTTTAATGAATATGCGCAAATTTGGGTAATAAATATTCTCTAGAATGAATTATATTTATTTTATTCAAATTTAATAAACTTCAAAATTTTTAGATTGAAAATAAAAGTTTTGGAAAAGAGCCGAAACGACCAGTGCCGATACCACGACAAAGTAAACTTAAGGTAACAACATATCACTTTCTTATAAATCATTTGTTATTATTTATTTATTTTTTTCTGTCTTTATTCATTTAAATGGAAATTTCAGTTTTTTTTCTTCTATCTATGAATTTAAATTAAATAGCATCATATTAAAAACATTATTAATATTATCATTTTGAAGTATATTATTTATAAATTTCCAATTATTATTGTTATTTAAGGAAGAAAATTAAAATAATATTATAATCCCAGTAAGTTACAATTTATTTATGAAATTATTTGTTTAAACATAAATTATTACTTCAATTTCAGTTTTAAATATAAATTTGCTTAATTTAATTTATTTAACAAATTATCGATTTATAATTTTAGACAACATTGAATGATGATTTATTGAAAAAAACTTCATTTGCTGTAACAAAAATACAGCATGGCATCGTTAATAGTCCGGAATCGATGGTAATTGTTAAATTTTGTACGATCATTGAATTATAAGTTTTTAATTGAGGTAAACTGGAAATCGGGGAGTGAAGAAGAATAAAGAACAGGAAAACGGATGGAAGTAAGAGGAGCAAATTAATTCCGGAATTTATTTCTAGCAGGAAGACTATGTAAATGGGAATGATAATCTAAAATGAAATCAAAAAATAAAAAATATTCAAAGAAGGATAATGTGTACAAAAATATTTATACAAAAAATTTTTTGAAATTGATCAAAATTTGATATTTAAAAAAATTATTTTTTTTTTAAAATTTTGAGTAGTTTAATTTAACCAAAATTGTTTATAAATTGAAAAGATTTTTAGCAAAAATTTTCCCAATAAAGAAATGTAATATTTATTTTTATTTTTACAGATAACAATCGCAAAAACAGTGAGTAAAGTGAATGTGGAAGAAAATGATAGAAACGAATGGATGTTACATTTGTAATAATTTTATTAAAAATTTAAATTTTAATGTTTAATTTTTTTTTTTCTAAGGGTAATTTGAAATTACTGGTATGTAAAGTGAGCAGCAGATTTTGATATAATTATCAATAATTCTTCCGATTGAAATCTATATAAATATGATATTTGATTGATAGAAAATTGTTCTTATATTTGCTTCACTAATTGATTATATTTAATATTTTTTTTCAACTTTTTAGAAATTAAGAAAAACTACCATTTTTCAATTTTGGTTTTAATTAATCATGCTTGTAATTATATTTGCAATTACTATAAAATGATGAAAAAATTAATAATAGCATTTTGAATAATTATATATAAAATTTAATAATTGATAGAAAAATATCTCGTTACCTTGAATCTAACAACCATTAACATATTAATATAATAAATCAAATTTTTTAATTTTTTTTATTTTATTTTCTTTTGTTTTCCGAAAAATAATAGTGAAATTATTAACAGAGCAATAAGAATTACGATATAAAAAAAATCTTTAATATTTTTTTTATTCAAATTGGTCAAATATTAAATAAATAAGTAAATGAATAAGTGTAAGTTTGTATCATATCAGTGATGCTTGCTCTATAAAAATAGATCAAATAAACTTTTTTCTAGAAAAAAGATCAATTATTTTCGATTGTTGTAAAACTCTAAAATAAAAAAATTTTACTCATTTTTAGTCTCGCATATATTTCATGAAAATGTCAAAATATCTTAGTAAATTAAAAATACTTCAAAAGTTGCTCCAACAATTTTTTTCCTTCTATTTTTTTAAAATTAAACTTTAAAGTTTGCCTTTATATGTTTGCTCCCAAGTAGTCATAAATTTCTTGAATAGAAAAAATACTGTTGTATATATTTAATGATTATTTTTAAATTTTCTTATTCAATATGTAATTTATGTAAAATTGAAATTATGAATAGAATTGAAGTTTATTTGTTTATTTGTTCATTTATCCTTGAAAATATGCTATCAGTAAAATATCTTTGCATATATTACTGATATAATTTATTCACTTAGAATTTAATCATTCGATGTGACATTCGATCTTACCGTAATTCCTTCATACAATATCGTAGTATTAACAGTGTGTCATTTCTCTTATTCTTGAAAATTCTATTTTAAGGCATTGTTGATAAAAATATCGTATAAGATGTTCTTTAAACAAAATATACTTTATAAATTATGCTAATAATTTGAAAATAAAATAATTTATGAGACACTTACAGTATGAAGCGTAGTATTACGGTATATAGCATTACAGTATGCAGTATCGCAAAAAACTTTGACATTTGCATTTTATTTTGTTTAAATCCACTCACAGGCGTAGCAAACTTTAAATAATTATGTTTGAGTAATATAGAAGAAATCAAATGATTAAATATTTGAATTGAAGAAATCGATATACTGTACATTTGCACAGTAATATGAGGTGTCATAAGACTTATTATTTGTGATATTAGTTTGCTTAAGTAAGATAGAAAGATGTTTGCAAATAGAAATAGTTACAAAAATTTTATTGTATAAAATTATTTATGAAATGAAAGTATGCTTGTAAATCGAAGAAATGAATTTGAATGGCTATATTAAAGAATATAATTATTATTTCATCGATTGCATTTAAAAGATGAAAATTCAAAAATGATCATATTTTAAAGTGTATTTGTAAACAAAAAGTATTTATAAAAATTTTATTGCATGGAATAATTGTGTAAATAAAATGAAAATATGCTTATACAATAAGTAAACTTATACAACATAACTTTATAGTTAAAAAAAAAACAAACAATTCCGAAAGTTCATGTCAAAAGATTAATTGTAATTGGATGAAAATTTAGAAAATCTTAGATATGTCACATTTTTAAAGGAAGGAAAGAAAGGAGGGATGAAATAACAAGAAAATGAAGGAAAAAACAAAATAAACTATTCAATCAGTGATAAATTCCTGTTCACAAATATTATGATTAAAGATAATACAACTCCCAAGGAGATCAATAAACTGAGAATACAAATAATAGTAGCAATGATGATTGTAGTAATCATATTGCTTGTGATTAGTTAATTAATTAATTATTTAATTATAAGGTATCCTAATTGTTGCAGTGATAATATGTGCAAATGAATGATACAGATAGTTCATCATTTCTCCTTGCGTTGTATAAAAAATGGAAAAATTTTTCGTTTGCATTAAATGCTTGAAATCTTGATTTCAATTTTAATTTCGAGTGATAATGTTTATCTTTCTGATAACAAATGATATTTTTTATTAGCTAAACATAAATTTTCATAGCAATAATGTGGAGAGATATCGGCCAAAGAAAATGCTTAATTGATATCAAAAAGCCTAACTTACCTTTATCTCAAAAATTAAAAATTTTGACTATGTTTTAAAAATTTTTTCAAGTTTTAAATTTCAAAATTATTCGGTATTCGGTTTTTTTCTTCGACTTTAAATAATTCAAAAACAGGAAAAAATGTTTTCATCAACTGGAATACAAATTTTTTTTAATGCTTTAAGGTACTTTTAATAGATGAACTTTTTGAATTTATAATTTTCTTTTGATCATCCATGGATATATTTTTCATTTCCACTTTTGATTCATCTGTTATCGGCATTGATCCGTCCATTATTTCCACCATTTCCTGTGTTGTTTGTGCTAAAATAAGTAAAATTTGATCTATTTTAAGTTTATTTTAATTTCATTTATTATTTTAATTTATGTCTCTACTAAGATTAAATTTAAATCGCTAATTTTACAAATTTTAAGAAAATGTGTAATAAACAAAATACTCAAACCATCTGAAGATGCTACTGGAAAATTATCAGAAGTTCGTTGTTCCATATTTTTATCAATTTCCTCAACAATCATATCACTCTTATCATTCGTACTTGTTTCAGATTGTATTTCATCTTGATTATGTACAACTGAAAAAAAAAAGAAATTTCATTTTAAAAAATAATATATTTTTTTTTTTGTTAATATTTGCCAAATTATCATGCGTAGTTACAATTTCACTAAAAAAGATAAGATAACCTTCCAAATTATCATTATCATTATTTTGTTCCTTAATTGAATCACCACTTTCTGATTCGTCTTCTTGTTGTACTGATTGTGATTTTAATTCCAATTCACTCTGTACTGATTCCATCCCTTCTGTTGTTGTTATATCACCTACCATTGATTCTAATTCTTGTTTATCATTTCCATCATGAATCATTGATAATGTTGGATCTTGCTCAGTACCTGATAATAACTGATAATGATTTAAGTGAAAGAAAAAACTAAAATGATAATTTAAAGCATTTTATTTTCTTATTTCGTTTGAAAAAAATTTATTCTATTAAAATGAAAATTGAAAAAAAAAGGAGGAAAGTCATTTTATTTCACATTATAATCCTGCATATTCTTTTTTTTTTTTTGTTTTTATTACAATTATTAAAATAATTTATGAAGGTTAATTATTAATTATTAATTGTTAAAGTAAAAAGACAGCCAAAATTTTACTCAGCTATATTTATGCTATAATTTCACGTTATGCAATATAATGTATTAATTAAATTAATTATATCCATCTATCTAATAATATTATAATTTAAAAATAATTTGAAATTAAAAAATAATGGCAATTATTTAATTTGAGAGCACTTGAAATTCCCAACCTTTTTCATTACCATCAGCTTGTGCTATAGATTTATCATGATTTCGATTTGCTGTCATGTCAACTGAAGTGACATCACCGTCATTTACAATGTCAACTTCTGAATGCTCAGATTGTATTTTATGTTTTGCTGGAAATAAATATTAATAAAAACTTTTTTCTAATCTATTAAATAATTTCTTGCAATTTTTGCGGTCACTAAATTAAAGTTATTTAATCCAGGTCTGAAATTCTTGAAACTGTTTGCTAACTGCATTATCTGAAATTTACTGTACGGTAGTGATAATGAATTATTATTACTTCGATTTAATTTCAAATTCAATTTCAAATGATTGGAACAGTAATATTGGTGTATTTGTGATACTGGCATTGACAGTGTCGTATTTTTTTTTTTATTTTTTAAAGTAAGGTTTTCAGTTATAAAAATTTAAATTTAAATTCAACCCAAAAATCCTCGTAGGAAATTCATAATTTATTTAAAAATTAAAAAAAGAAAGAAAGTAGAAACCAGTAAATTGTTCAGGATGATTAACTGATTGCTTCATAATTGTATTCATCATTGTTGTTACTGATAATAAATTTGCATCCTAAAAAGAATGATTAAGTAAGTTTAAAAATGATAACATGAAGTTAAAAACAATTTAATATACTTCTAAAATATGTTAAAATTATTTAACATTAAAAATCAAAAAAAAAAAAATGAATTCATAAAATTAAATTTTATGATATTTCAGTGTTAAATAATACCTGAAAAAAAAGAAAGTATTAGGAAAAAAAGTACCGATGAAGTTGCAATACTCTGTTTTAATAATTCTTTTCCTTTTCTTGCATTCATTTCTACTTTTGGTGATTTTGTCACAATTGGTTGTTGGTTTTGAATAATTTTATCAGTGATCTGTGCTTGTGACCTTTGTTCTTCCTTATCTGTCCCACTCATTGATAACATTGTTCGATTGTTTTTGTTGTTGTTGTTAATGCTCTTTGTTACACTATCACTTATTACCTTGAATAATTGATAAGTGTTCAAATGTAACTTTATCACTAATCAAATTATCTTTGCAAAACAAACATTACTTCTGTGTTAATTAATATATTAAAAATTTGATCAATTTTTTTTTTCGTTTCTCAATTTATTATCTTTTATTATGTGTAATAACGAAAATAATTTAATGGAAAATTTCTTACGTATTTTGTACATTTTTCATTGTGTTATTTGTTTACTAAATCTTGTCACTTTTCACTACAACTTAAAGATTTTTGCTTATGTTCATTAGATAAAATGTTATTAACTTTTAATTGCCTCCTTTTATGAAGCTAATTAAAAGTTAATTATCATTTTGCGCTGTAGCTTTATTGTATATTAAACATATCTGATATATAAATTAAAATTATATTAAAATTTCTCTTAAAATAGGTTGCAGTAATTTTTCATCTATTTATAAATTCACTGCAAATCACATGGAGCATACATGAAATTCAGGAAAAAGAGATTTCTGATTACTTTGTCAATTATTAACTCAATCAATTAATCAGTCAGTTTTTTCAATTATTTATCAACTTAAGTAATAACTAAATCTACATATAAAATAATTATCATGATTCTGCTTTTCTTTTATCATAATAATTGCAGAATCATAAGTATTTAGCTCATAAAAGTAACTAAATTAGCAAGCAACATTTCACTAATTAGAATGTATTTCACGTGTAAGTGTAGAAAGAAAGTGATAAAATGGAATGATAAGGAAAAGTTAAGAATGATTCGGCTAATTGCGTGTAATAACAATTTCTAAAATAGCATAAGCGTTTTCTGTTTTATTTCTAAATTGAAGTCATATTATTGATGAAGTTACATTTGGGTTATTTCTAACACTAATACAGATATAATGTGAAATCACATACAATACAGTTATTGATTAGTAATCACTAATCACTGATCGCTGATCACCGATTTAGGAAACATAGCTGAGCTGTAGCCCAGAGCCCTTCTAGCTCAGTTGGTAGAGCATCAGACTTTTAATCTGAGGGTCGTGGGTTCGAGTCCCACGGAGGGCAAGCAGGTTTTGATGGAATTTTGTTTAGATATATGTACAAACTGTGACACATAATCGCATTGTAAACAATTCAACAAACACAAAGCGATGGGAGTTGTTAGTATTACTGATTGAAACTTTAAAATTTGCTTATAAAAATGTTTTCAACACAAAATGAAAGACAAAATATCGGTTGGAATGTGATAACGATGCAATGTTTCTTCATGTTAATATGGTGTGAGGATGAATTGGTGAATACATTATTAGATGCTACTATTATCATTATCATTGTTATCACTGCTTGATTTGTAGTAACATTTATTATTATTATTACTACTACTCATTTATTATTATTATTATTTAGTTTCTTTTTTAATTTCTAAAATCTCTTGCATAACTGGTGAAAAATTAAAATTTAGTTAAGTTTACATTGGACTTTAATTTAATTTCTTTTTCTGAAATAATTGAACATTTGTTGCTATTATTTTAATAAATTCTTAAGAAATATTGAAAACATACATTTAACTTTTGACGAAATGAACTTTTTTTGACTCTTTTTTAACTTATTAATACCTTTGCTATTGTTATTGTTGCTGTTATTATTGTTGTTACTTTTATTTTTTTTTTTTTTACTTTTTCTGCTACTTTTGCTTTTTTTAATTTTGATCGAATAATGAAATGAATTGTTGTTTTCTTACTTCTTCAGTACTTTCACCACGAGTGCCATCTTGATCATTAGATTTGGTCGAATCGTATGGTCGTTGCGAATTACGTTCCGTAACAAATCGTCGAATTTCATGTCTAAATAAAATTATCCCTAGGTGAAAACTATAGGCAAAAAAAAAAAAATAATTTAAAACAAAAAAAAAAAAAGTGACAAAATGGTTGCATGAAAGTACCTGAAATCAACAAGTTCGCCAGGTGTTAAATCACCCGAACTGTCCACATCCACTTTTTTGAAAAATTGTCGCGTTATTATCCGATCGATTTTATATTTTAATTCGATTAATTCTTCTAATTCATCAATTGTTACCGTTTTATCCTTGTTCATATCAAATTCCTAAGAAAAAAAAAAAGGAAAAAAAAAGGAATAAAAACAATAAAATATTTCCGATAAATTTACAAAATTTTTAATAATTTGTCAGTTTTTTTTTTTGTGTAATAATTAATCAAAATCTTTTTGTTTATTTTTCTTTAAATTTATAAAAAAAAATTCACAATTTGTCACTTTTTTACATGATAATTGATTGAAATTTTAATTCATCATTTTTTTTTTTCACTGCTATATCTTTTGTCATTATTATTAGAAATATTTAAAAAGAATGTTTGAAAAATATATCGAAAGTAGAAAAACATACTTTAAAATGTTCAGTTGCAAATTTGATGGCACTTAATCGTACGAGGCGCAAAAAATCAGCTAATTCTACTTTATCTAACTTTCCACTCTTATCCTAAAAATGTTTTGGCAATTATGGCCATACAAAAGATTAACAAATTATTGTTTGAAAAAAAATTTACTAATTCAAATTATTTTTTAAAAAAGAGAGAAATATTTGATTAGATGAGTGTTGGATGGAACTCTTATTTACAAAGACATAAAGCTGAAAAATTTATCTAATGAATTTTTAAAATACAAAAATCTTTGATCTTATTGATCTATGCAAATTTATTTCTAAATATTACTAGTTTTCTCGACATAAATAACATTTAGGCGATCGTCAATAGATACTGCAATTATCATGAAAAAAAATTAGTTTTGAAATTACAATTAAACTCATAAAAATTAAATAAAATAATGATAGAATTATTTGATGAACAAAAAAGCAAGGTAAATATTACCTGATCAGCAATAACAAATAAATTAAATGTTTCCTTAGGATCCATGTCATCTTGTCGTCGAGCCATTGCAACAGCTTCCGAATTATTAATGTAACCATCACCATCACTATCAATTTCCTTAAAAAAAAAGAAAAAAAAATACTCATATAATTATATGCTATTTTAAAGTAGTAATTTCAAATTAATAATTAATTATTATTTTCATTTCTTTTCTTTGAATTATTCTCAATAAAAATAATAACTAAATTTTTGATTCAAAATTTCCAAAAATTTCTAAATGCATTAAAAATTAAAATTTTCTCTTTTTGAAATTTGTGTGAAAAAAACATATTTTATTGTTAATCATCTCTTGTTGCCTAAATTAGAAATTTTTTAATGAAATATTGTATAAATTCTGTTTGATATAGACTAAGAAAAATTTATTATTATGTATGATCAATTAATTAACCTGCATAATATCTAAAGCATTTTTAACAGCTTTACTACGTATAACTGATCGAAATCCGGCAAATTCAACCGGATCCAGTTGGCCATCTTCATTTTCATCCGCTTGAGCAAAAAATGGTCCAAGAATTTTTTCATCAAAACCATAATGATCAAATGCGATACGTTTTGCTTCATCCATTGTTACAGTACCACTTCCATCCCGATCAACTACCTAATTCATTCAAATTAAAAAAAAAAAAAAATTAAAATTGATAATATTAAATTAATTTCAAATTAATAATTGCTTATTACTTTTAATTCTTTTCTTTGAATTATTCTCATTTTTGATGTTTTATGATAAATATAATAATTAAATTAATATCAATTAATGTTAGTATTAAATTAATGTCATTTATTTTCTATTTTCATTTGTTTTTTTAAATTATTCAAAAAATTTTCAATTATACCTTTAATGCTTTTTTTGATGTATCAATAGCTCGTGAGCGAATAATTCGTTCGAAATCAGCAAATTCTGGTGCATTTAATTCGCCATCATTGTTATCATCAACAGACATTACCATTTCATTTACATCACCTGCACTGATACCTTCCTGTTCGAATGCTATCTTTTGTGCTTCTCTTTTATCAATATGTCCATCTTCATTTTTATCAGCATTCTTAAATAATAATATTAATAATGATAATTCATTCGGATAATTTTTATCACTTATTAAATTTCAAAATTGAGCTTAATTTTGAAATACATTACAAAAAAAAAAAATTGTAATTACAATAATCTAAATTTTGTTATTAAATTTAATCCAAAATAAATTTATTATTCAAATATCAAAGAAATAGGTTTTAACCTATTTCTTTTATAATTTTCATTATTAATATGAAGCAAATTTAATACTTAACCTTGTTATTATATATAAAAACAGAAGATTTCTTTTTTTTATATTTTTTTTTTGCAATAAGAAAAATTAAATGAAATTTTTCATGAGGAAAAGGAAAAAAAATGTAAAATTTTAGAAAATACGAACGTAAAAAAAAGAAAAAAAAAGTAAATAAGAAAAAGAAAAAAAAAAAACCTTCATAATTAGCCTAGCAAGTCGAATTGACATTGCTCGAATGCGTCGTCGAAGTTTACTAAACATTGTAGCATCCATTTCAACACTTAAATTTGGTACCACTAAACGCCATATTCGTTCTACGTCACGATTTCCAATTCCATATTCTTTTAAAATATACTCTTGTGCTTCTTTAAGTGATAATAAGCCATTATGATCTTTGTCAACTGTCTTAAAAAAGAGAATTGAGACTGTCAAACTAATTTGAAATTATAATATTATTAATTGATTTTAAATATGAGCTTAAAAATGAATAATATATCATAATCAATTATAATTTTAATTTATATAGTCAATTGAAGAAAAAATTATTAGAAAAAAAAACAGTTTTATATATTTATATATATCAAAGTTTTAAAATTATTTTAGAAATTAAAAGATGAAATATGAATGATTTTTAGTTTAAAATTACTTGTAAATAACGTTGTGCAGCACTTTCAGCTTTTGCAAGTACCAATGGTCGTATATCATTAAATTCTATTGATGTTAAATAACCATCATCATTTTTATCAACCTTATAGAAAGTAATAAAGTTTAATTAATATTTTAATACACAATGAGAAAAGAAACAAAAAAAAAAAAAAATCACAAAGCAAAAAACTAATGAATTGTAATAAAAATATTTTCTTTTTTTTGTAATTTATTGTTTGAAATTTTATACTCAAACTTATATTTTGGACTTAATTTTTATCAGTTGATAAGTTTTTTTTTTATTTTTTAAAAAAGAGACTAATATTATTAAATTTTATTATCATTTCAAATTTTATACCTCATTGAAAAGACTTTCAATGACATTACTGGATAATCCGTGATGTACAAATGCAGCATATTGTACTTCAGCAAGACTTAATGCGCCATCACCGTCCAAATCAACGCTTTTATCCACTGGCGGTAATTGTCCGGTAGGTCCAATACCAGAAAGATCGGTTTGTGGAGCATCAGCAACAGGAGGATTTAATTTTGATGGTTCAGTTGAAATGAATTGATTTGAAGTTGATCCTACAAATTGTAATTTTATAACTAGCAATTTATTTGGGAATATTAAAATCTAAAATAAGTTGAAATTTTGTTTTCAATTTAATAAATTGATATTTAAAAAAGCGAAAGTGAAAAATATACAAATGTTTAATAAACTATTATATAAATATTATAAAAGAAAATTGAAATTTTTATACAAAAATATTTAACAAATTGTATTCAATTTCATTCTTTTTTTTTTACATCAATTATTTACACAAATTATAGTATTTTAAAAATTTTGCAGCATTTCTCATTTAATTTCGTTTACTATTACATTCATTTTTTTTGTATTTCAATACTTTTCGTTTTTTTTTTTTTCAAATTTTTCCATACGTTTTTTTTAAATACAAACAAAGAAAAATGTACAATTTTTTTTTGGTAATATTTCATTATTTAAATTCCTTTCTCAGTTGATACCAAAATTTTCGATTGAAATTTTAACAAATTTATAAAAATGATTGAAAAGATGAAAAACAGCAGTAAAACAAAAGAATTAAATAGCAAATGCTGTCCTACATTCTCATTTGTTTTTTTTTTCTTTTTGTTTTGTGAATTCTTCAAAAAAAGAAAAAACAAAAAAAAGGAAAGAAAAAAAAAACAGGACAAATAAGAATCAAAAAATGAAGTAATTTAATTTCATTGTAAAAAAGAATTTCAATTAAATAATTTGAAAATTTTAATGTAAAATTTCCATTACCAACAAAATATTCATCAACAATTTTAATTTTGTAAACAAAAATAGAAAATATTTGTGATTAATTAAATGATCAATTATGTCATAATTATTGATATTGTTTTTTAATCTAAAGGTTTTTCTTTTTTTTTTTTTCATTAATTTCTAAAAATTCCGATTAAAGAATTCAATGAAATTAATATGAGCGAAGAAAATAATCATAGAATTGATATGCCATTTTAAAAATTTTGAAAAATTGTTAAAAAATTAAGTGTACCCTGTTGAAGTCGTCGTAATGCTTCCATACGAGCCATCAGTGTTGCATGAGCTGCAAATGTTATTTTTTTATAAACTAAAAATTTGTTAAAAATTTATATGAAATCTTGAAATTTTCTTATCAATTATCAAATGTTACCTTTGTTTTTTTTTTTTTTTTTGTGGCATTCAATTTTCAAGAATTTTAAATATTTTTAATCAAACATACAGATGAAATATGCAAAAAAATAAATCAATTAATTGCAAAAAAACAAATAACACATTGTGAAATTTTAAGTATTAAGGATAAAGTTGATAAAGTTTACAAATTATCTTGTAATTATAATTTTTGTATAAAAAATTTAACAGCTACTTTGTTTTTTTCAAAATAAAACTTAGTAATTACTGAGAAATTTTTAATACTCGAAGACAAAACATATGGATTATCTTATAAAAAAATTATCTTATAAAATTTTCCTAGTGCAAAATTTATACAATTATTCCATAATTTTTTGTCTGTTAAGTATCAATAATGAAATTTAAAAATGATAAATTTTAATTTCCTGCAACAAAATTTAAAAGTTAAATCATTTAAAATTTAGAAAAAAAAAGTTTGCATTTATAATGCAAATAATATTTTTGAATTTTCCCAAACATTAATGCATTTTTTTTACAATTATAATTAAATTATTCCAAAAATTTCGATCGCAAAAATATTTTGAATAATTATTGGATGGAGAAAAGACAAAATTATTTGTGCGAATAATTATTTTTTAATTATTTATTTATTTTTTTAAACAAAGAAGAAATAGTGGAAAAAATAATTTGTTATTAATGAACCTGACTGCGTTGATTTATCACCATTAATCTGTATTGCTGGACGAAAATTTGATGGTAATTGTTGTTGCTGTCGTTGTTGTTGTTGTTGTTGTTGTTGTTGATGTTGTTGTTGTTGATGTTGTTGTTGTTGTTGTTGCTGTTCTTGTTGTTGTTGTTGTTGCATTGTCGATGTTGATGCACTATCTGAAAGATTTGTACAACTATTAAAAAATTGATAATCTTTTCAAAATTTAATTTCTATTTTAATATTAATATTAAAAAGCATGCTGATTAAATGGAATTAAGTTTCCTGATAGTAATTAAAAACTGATTTTAAAAAAAAATTTGTAATTTTAATTATATTTCAATACTACAATTAATAAAAGATTAATTGCTTTTTTTTTAAAACTTTATAACTATTATACAGTTCAAAGATGAGTTCTTTCTATTTATTTTTCAAATTAAAATTCATCAATCAAGAATTAATTTATTTACATTAGCAAGTGAAAAGATAAAAAAAAAAAAAGAAAGAAACATTTAAATAAAATTATTACCTAATGGATGTCGATTACTTCCTTGAGGCATTGCATAAGTTATGCTTAGTATTAATAAGAAATGGATTAAATATAGCATGTTGCTGTATGTATTCCTTCAATAAATTTTCAATTTAAATTAATAAATTAATTACATTTTAATTATTATCAATGCATTTATCATTATCATTATCATTATTTCATATACAAATGTATTACTATGCATAAGTAATTAATGATTAAAGTATTACTGTGAATTAGCAATAATGTTTATGATGACGAAGAAATAATAATTATTATTTCATTAATGTGATTTATTAATAGTAATTAAAATGACAAAGAAATGATAGAAATGATATTACATTGTTTTGGATTAGCAGTGATAATTTGAATATTAAAAGAGTGATAAATCGTTATCACTTCATATAATTTATCAATAACAATAATTAGGATGAAAGCAGTTAATATAATTATCATTTCGAATTATTATGCAAAGTTTTGGATTAAATTAATTTTATAAGTTTGAAAAAAGAAAGATAATCGATAATTTTAGTTAAATAAAGTGAAATAATTAAGATAACAAATAAATGCAAATGATAATAATTAGAATTGAAAGGATGGATGATAAAGTTTGAATTGATATGTATGGTTGGTAAGTGAGACGACAACAAATTGAATGAGTTTATCGGCCTTTGACAACAAAAAGGTCACCAACACATCTCAGTAGTAGTAGTAGTAGTAGTAATAGTTGTAGTAATAGGAATACAATAATTATTTTGTATAAATAATACATTATTATTAATCAATTTTAATTTTATTCTTTTAATAATTTTTTTAATTTTTATTACAAATTTATAATTTGATAGAATAATTTTTTTTATAATGAAATTTTCTTTTTTTTTCCTCCCTCTTCATCTTATATATTTGTAAAATTTAATAAAATAGCGCCGATGAATTAATTATTCAATCAATATTTCTATTTGTAATTATTGAATATTTTTAGGAAAAAAAAAAGACTTAAAAAATTAATCCCAGTTTATGAAAAAAAAATAAATATTTTAAATTTAGAATTAAAAAAATAAGAATAGATAGATATAAATTGTTAAACTGAAATGTTAAAATTTACATATAATCAAATATTATTTAAAGATTTTCGCATTGAAATTAATTTTTATTTATTTCAAAAATAGTTCTTATAAATATACATTTAGCAGAATTAATAGAAATTTAATATAAATTCAATTTGACAAAGATTGCAATAATTAATAATTATGATAAACTGAAAATATCATTGCTTAACAATTGATAAATTAATGTTTTAGCTTAATTATCGTAAGCTAAATTACGAAGGTTGAAATAAAAAAAAAATGAAGGTTAAAATGAAATAACTGATAACATTCCAATGAAGGGACATTGACCAAAGGACATTGATATGATAATTGCATTTGAATTGCTGTAATCAATATCTTATCATTATTATTTTTAGTTTATTGAAATTTCTATTATTATAATTTATTCATACGATCATTCCGCTAAAATGGAATAATAAAACTAAATGTCTCTTTACAAAAATGAAAAAAAAGTTTCAAAAATAATTGATATATTAAAAAGAAAGAATAAAATTACTAATTATTCCATTTGTGATATTAATAATGGAATGCGATTGTTGTTCAAAAGTGTTTTCATATTTTTAAAAAGTTTAATTCGTTGAATTATTAATACTCAATTTACCATTGATTTATAAATTTTATTCATTATTAATTTAACGATTAATAATTACTTATCTTTCATTTTCAATAATATATTCCAGTATATGTCAGAAAATACTTAATATATGCTAATATGTATAAATTACTATGCAAAGTAAGTAATATGATTATTTCAATTTCTATTCTTTCCAAGAATTTGCTAATTTCATTTTGATAATAAATCAATAAAAGACAAAAAATAAGTAAACAATTTGATTACTAAATAAAATTTAGAAATTATATTAGGGGAAATAAAAAAGTAACAAAAAGTAATATAAGAGTAGGTAAAGACGGAAAATGTTGAAATAATTCCTTGTGCATAGCTCTGAGTAAGTAAAGTATGTAAAGTACTAAGTAAAGTGTAGCTGCACTTAATAATATTGAGCCTAATTACAGGTAAGTAATTTTAATATCAAAGCTTCTGAAATCATTTTTATGCATACATCGTCAAAATGTAATAAGCACAAATTAAAGCATTGAATAATAGTAAGCCTAAATTTCAATATTAAAATTTATCAGTTAGCTAATAAATGAAGCACAACAATTTTCATTTTATCTATATGAAAGCATTGGGAATACTAAAAACGCCGAATCATTGTCAATTATTGATGAAAATAAAATTTTGAAGTAATTTAAATAATTTGAAAATAATTTCGGTCAAAGTAATGAAAATAACAACGAAAAAATATAATTGAATTTGAATTTTCTAAAAATTTCGGCCAACTCAGTTAACGCTAAAGAAAAAAAGGAAAAAAAACGACAAAAAAATAGAGGCAGAAAATTTATAATTTTAAATTAGACCTTTTAATGAATATTTCATGACGAAATTTAATTTCAGTTTCAAAATTTTAGTTCAGTTAATTTCAGTTAACAATAAATACATTAGATAAGGAAAAGTTTTAAAAAAAATAAAGGGTTGAAATTTTGGTAATTAAAAATTTTTGTTTGAATAAAAATATATTTTTACTTTTATTTTCCCACAGCAGTCGGAAATTGAAATTAAAATTAGCTAACAATTAATTCATTTCCTAAAGAAATTTCAATGTGATATACACAAACTGAAAATTTCAGTTAATTTTTGAGATAAATTAAATCCAACAATATGTAATTAAAAAAATCTTTAACCTTTTTTTAATTTTCAACAATTTTATTTTCTTTTTTGTTTATGTGAAACATTTTTTTAGAAAGCTAAATAAAATTATAAGCGTTAAATTGAATTTAAATTAAATATACAATTAATAATTGTGATAAGGAGATTATAATGATATTATTACTGTATGATTAATAAAAATGTGAATAAATTATAATACAAATATTTAAATTATAATTTTGAGTAAAATATAACAGAAGCGATTTTATTTTTCCTTTCTATTTATATAAATCTTAGTGAAAATATATATTTTTTGAATATGAAAATTAACTTAAAAAAAAGAAAGAAAAAAATCGAATCAAATATGAAATATTTTAATTAAAAACAAAATAATTAAATAAATATAAAGACAGAAAATTTGAAAGAACAATAAAATTAAATCTAAAAAAACGGAAATTTACTCTTCGAAAAGCATTGATTAAAATGAGAAAGTACCATTACGAATAAATTTTTATGTCCTGAAAAAAGAATTGCTTTTTTCATTTGTCTGATAGAAAAAGCATTTTGAAATAATACTGAAATTATCATTTGATATAGTACTTATTTTAGTGATGGTGAGCTTATTGGTAATAATAATAATAATAATAGTAATAATAATATTAATAATGATATTATTAATGATGATGATAATAATAATAATTAATAATAACAAGAAGAACACAAAATAGAATTATTGTTGTTCAATTAAAATTAATCGACGTATTTAAAAAAGCATTTCGATATTTTTTTTTGTCAGCAAATCAATAATTAAAATCTTTCTTCAAATTTTTTTTTTTAAAATCTAAATATAAATTTTTAAACTAAAATAATCAAACACCAATTAAAATTAAAATAATTAAATATTTTTAAACTAAAATAATTAAAATTTTATTAATCTTCTTGAAGTAATATAGAACAATTATTTCAAAACAAATATACCAATTGTTAAATTAATGAAATATTATTGTAATTACCATTTCAATTATTGTACCAAATTAAAATTGCTTCATTTCATTTGAAATGATATTAAATGATTGTACAATCAAAATTTGAAATGCATTCATTAATTGCAAAAGTTTCTTTCAAATTTAAATTTAAAAAATTGAAAAAAAAGAGAATTTCTATAGATTCACTTTCAAATATAAGAAAAAACGAGAAAAAAAAATTGACTAACTAATAAATATTTTTCATATTTTTTCTTTCTATCTAAATATAAATTTACTTATTTAAAAAAAAAAAAAAAAAAATTTAATGTCGTATAGAAAAGAAAAAAAAAAACTAATTAGTTAATTATGCAAATTAAAGATTGATGAAGAGAGAGAGAGAGAAAGAGGTTTTCTCTCTCTCTCTCCCTCTCTTATAAAAAAATGTTTAAATGAATTTGTGAGGGAATTGTTACTACTCTCTCTCTCCCTCTCTTATAAAAAAATGTTTAAACGAATTTGTGAGGGAATTGTTACTACTCTCTCTCTCTCTCTCTTTCTCTCTCTCTCTCTCCCTCTCTCTCTTATAAAATAATGTTTAAATGAATTTGTGAGGGAATTGTTACTACTCTCTCTCTCTCTCTCTTTCTCTCTCTCTCTCTCCCTCTCTCTCTTATAAAAAAATGTTTAAATGAATTTGTGAGGGAATTGTTACTATCCTTTTCCTCTTTCATCTGCTCATCCTTCTACTTTTTTAGTTTGTTGAAACATTCATTATGTTCAATTAAACGTGTTCCATGGTATTATTTATTAAATTTAGGTTACAAATTGATTCTAATCTTTGTTATCTTTGCAAAAATAGAAATTTAAAAAAGGACAAAAATTTGTTTAAAATAGAATTTAAAAAAAAAAAAAGAAATGTTAATATTAATGTAATTTTATGCTATTCATTTACTTAATATTTTATTTAAATTGTTTAAAATTTGAATTGTGCAAAATTTTGAATTTTATTTTAAGAAAAACTAATTTAAGGAACACATTGAAATAATAGGTTGAAAAATATTGGAAAAATTACAGGAATTAGAAGAACAAAGGATGAGAGAGTTACAACGGAAGGATTAATTTATTAATTAATCGAAACAGAAGAATTAATTTATTAATTAATCGAATTTAACTTCATTTGATAAATTAATGAAATGATTTTCATTTTCTTTTTTTGTAATACATCCAATTTTTCAAATAATTATTAAAA